CTGTAGCTCCAGCCCCTCCTGGAAAGTTCCACCTCTTTCCAGGAATCCCCCTTCCCCAATCTCCACCTATGTGCCCCAACCCCTGGGAAAAAGGTGCTTTCTCCATCACTTGATCAATGAATAAAGTTTCTGCTGTGCTTGACCAAACCTGATTTCATTCTGTTGAGGTGAACAGCACTGAGCAGGGAAAGGTCCATTGTTGAGCAACTCCCTTGGAGATTGGCAACAGTGAAGACAGGTTCTCCTGCACGTATGCCTGATAACAGAAACCATCGTAGAAGACTCTGTGAAGACCACAACCTTGCACAAAGGCCACTGCAACCTTACACAAAAAATACTTTTCACTTTGGGAGGCACAGGCGAGAGGATTGCCTGAGCCCAGAGGTTCAAGACAAGCCTGGGCAACTTGGTGAGAACTCGTCTTTACAATAAATCAAAAATTAGCCAGACATGGTGGTGTGTGCCTGTAGTTCTAGCTAATTGGAAGGCTGAGACAAAGTTCAAAGTTTTACAAATCAATTAATGTGATTCATCATATTAACAGACTGAAAAATAAAACTATGTGATCATCTTGACAGTAGCATAAAATGCATTCCGTTCCACAAGATCCAACACTATGCCACGGCACTTCAACCTGGGTGACAGAGTAAGATCCCTTCTCAAAGAAAACAAAAATTGCTTCTGCAAGGACATCTGCCCAGTGACTGCCTGTCCAACCTCAAACCAATGTCACCTCTGTTGTTGATCTTTGTAGCCAAGGACAATTATCTCCAAACAATTATGTGACCTTCCTCGTTCTTTCTTTAAAAGTCCTTGTCTTCCTTTACCTCCCTGAACAGCACAGTTTACTATGGCTCACAGGTTCCCATTGCAATGCCCAATTCCCAAATAAACATCTTTTCTTTTTGAGAGCCTCTTTCTGTTTGTTATTTAGGTTGGCCTGTTGAACAAAAATTATAGGCCATCATTGTAGACTAAAATCCTGTACTATGCCCAACAGATCAGACAAAAATTCAAACTGGAGTTGCCTACACACACCAAACTGAAACTGAATTGTTGTCTGGCCTTCGGGAATCAGGAGAGAGATGACAGCCTAATTTCCCAAACAGGTCAGTTTCAACCTTTCACGGGCATGATAACGAAGCCACCTTTGCTTTAATCCTTACAACAAAGAGAGGCCTGGAGTCACCTGGTGTGAATCAGTCAGTTATTTTCCTATTGTTCCATCTCCCAGTTTCCATCTTACAAGGAAAATAAGTGAAATGACCCATCTACTTTTTGTTGTTTGTTTCTGCTTTCTTCAGCCCTTCTCTGTCTATAAAACCAACCTGCTCAGCTCAGCTCACTGGAACACTTGTTCATTTCAAGTGCTGCGGGATTCCAGAATTGCAATAAGGCCAATTTGAGACCTTTAGGCTACACTTGTAATCTTATCTTTTAGGAGTACACAGGTTCTCTCTGTATATCTTACAGTTTCTTATGAATCCATAATTATTGCAAAGCTAAAAGTTTTACAAATCAATTAATGTGATTCATCATATTAACAGACTAAAAAAGAAAACTATGCTATCTTCTCGACAGTTGCATAAAAAGCATTCCATTCCAGAAGATCCACCATCCTTTCATGATAAACTCTCTTGGCAATAGAAGGGAAATTTTTAGCCCAGATAACACTAATCTAGAAAAACTAGAGTTAGCATGATTCCTCCTCAGAAGCCAGTGAATGTGTCTTCCTAAGACAGGCATATGTCCACACACGCATGGAGGCCTCCTTATTCTGACCACTGGGGATGAGGGGAAGCAATACCCAGTGTCCTGAGCACATCTGACTCCAGATCTTGGCTTCTAAACACCATTATCCACTAAAAGAGGCCAGGGCTCCATGGAGAAGCATTTGATTTCAGGGATGAAACGGAAAATATGAGTGACCTGAAGTCACCTGGTATGAACCAGTCACTTATTTTTCTATTGTTCCATCTCCCTGTTCCCACATATAAAGAAATGGCCCATCCACTTTTTATTCTTGGCTTCCACTTTCTTCAGTCCTTCTCTGTCTCTAAAGCCAACCTCCTCTGCTCAGCTCATTGGAACACTCATTCCATTTTATGGAGTCAAGTGTTGCTTTAAGATACACTTAGACTTGAAAGTAAGAAAAGTCAAGCTACGGTGGTGCATTGATAGGGCACAGGAGCTGCAATGGACATGCTCCCAGTGGCCAAAGTTGGAATAACTGGAACCACAAAATAAATGGTGATAACATTAGATAATAGTTCAAACAACAAAATACATATTCTTTAGTCCACCTGAAATAAATAAATAATGGAGCAAATAAACACATGGGGGAGCAAGGACAGCTGTTCCTTATGGGGGAACATCAATTAGTTAATGTTGACAGAAAGGAAATAGAGACCATCTCCATGAGGAACCCACAGTGATCACTGTGACAGGCCAGACCCTCAAAGGTTGCCAACACTACTGGGAAAATGCTTTCACAGAGATAGGATATTTGCAAAGTTTCAAAGAATGTCCCTAAAACATTGTTCGCAGCAGAGGGGAAAATAGTCACTTCATGGTGATGAGACATGTCAACATCATGGTCCCCACCGCAGTAGGCATACCACTCCTGTGGGTTTCTTCTCCTGAACACAATGCCCCGCTCTGATCAGGTCAAAACACCAGATGAGTCCAAACTGAGGGGCCTCTTATAAAACCCCTGACCAGTCAAGGTTACCAAGGGCAACAAGAGACTGAGCAACTGTCTGGAACAAGAGACACCTACAGACACCTTTCAGCAAACACCATGTGGGACCCCAAGCAGGACTTTGTGGGAAGCTGGTACATCTGAATAGTCTGTCTTTTAGTGAACAGGAACATGCCAGTGTTAATTTCCAAGAGTTGGTAACCGATCTGTGGCTGTGAAAGCTGCTCATGTGGTGAAGGGCAGGTGTGAACTCTGTGCTATTCCCACCACTGTTCTGTAGAATACATTTTCACCCTTTCCCCGTTTAACTCGAGGATACTCGCTGGTGGTGTTTGTGTCTGCAGTGTTTACCCTAGATTTAAAAAAGAACTACAAAGTATAGTAATTCTCTCTCTCTCTCTTTTTTTCTGAATTCTCGTTAGGATTAGAGACAAATTCTGTTTAGAAATAACTCCAAGATCAGTTTTTATATTTTATTTTCACATTGAAGCCAGTCAGATTTGCTTCAGTCTCAAAAAGTGTTTATGTAAAATTTAATGAATGCAACAGTGAGCTGCCACCCACTCTTTCTTTCTTTCTTTCTTTCTTTCTTTCTTTCTTTCTTTCTTTCTTTCTTTCTTTCTTTCTTTCTTTCTTTCTTTCTTTCTTTCTTTCTTTCTTTCTTTC